TGATCAAGATTATCGGTAAAAGAACTTAGATCACAGTAAGAAGAAATGGGTTGGCACAGCACAATATCATCTGAAAGTGAATTCGATAGTCAGTTAAACAAACTTGGTCATGGATCGTTAGATTTTCGTCATAAATTGAACTTTGCTGAAGTATATTGCTTACCATTTCCAGGCCGCTTGATTTTTACCAAACCAGTTGCCTAGTTTGGTAAACAATGCCGGGGAAATGGTTAAGGTTTTATAACACAGTCTTTATTTGGATCATTCGTTAAAATCCAGAGTGGAAAAAGTGTAGCTTAGGTCACAACAAACGAGAGTGCGCAATGCTGAAACAAAGTGGAATTCTCAAGTAGAAGTTAATGAATTCTTTCATTCCTCGCATGATGCTGTAGTACTTATTCTGCGGACGCCACTGTATTTTTCATGTGGTTTACGAGGTTGGATGGGGTGCGTTCAGACGAAGGTCAGAGAATGTGGGTGATATGAGTGAATGAGTGAGACAAACAATGGTGCTGAGGTATCTGCTCAAGTTGAAAGCAGATCCGGTTTACTTTCTATCTGTTGATTCCTATTTTTTATGGTTATTTTGCGGTGTTCATTCGTTGATGGACAGCAACCAATACCTACGTTTTTCACTACAAACTTGCTGGTGATACAAAGGGTAGCTGAACGCTTGCTTAGTCGAGCAAGTCGTGAGTGTCTGTCGCTTATTCCACTTTCGTATTTGAGAGGCTCGGTCAGTTCTGATAATTGTCTGGTTCCCGAATTCACGAACTACTTGAAAGTTATCAATAGCTGATAATAATGTTGGTGTAATGAAAATATTACCCTGTTTCCTTTCGTTTATTTCTGTTGTTTTTCTGTTCTGAGTAATTTATTTGGAATTTATATTGAATCGTTTGCAACGATTCAATAAATGGATTTTTTTTTCAGATGTTCATGTTGCTTGACTTTGCAAATCACATGAAGTATGAATCAGTCGATTGGCATCAATGAGCTCACAAATTGTTTCATAATTTCACAGATTGACTGTGCAACTACTGAAAGTTGAATAGTAAAATAATCAAATTCGATATAATATCCTAACCTGCGTTTCTGATACATTTTGCAGGCTCGTGTCAAAGTAGAACTGAAAATTCTGATGTCTCTTCTTCAAAAGCATCGACCAGAGATCCACAAGCACCTCGTGAGTTTTGCTGACGATAATGAACATCATGGCACTTATTCGTGTATACAGTGATTCCTATGGAACGTGTACATACATGTATATTTGTGTAAAGTAACAAGTATATATATATATATATGTAAACAGCAATAAAACCGACATAGTTCTGCATCAAAAAATCATGTTAAGAGACATTTCACAAGGCAATTGACAGTTATTGCACGAATAAGATAGAGATGAATAAGGTCTGGAACGAAGTGTTTCTATACGTTGATTTAGGTGCAAAGAGGAAATCAGATTTAGTGTTCGAGGATTCCACAAGCTTTAATGAGCCCATGATGCAAGCAGGACCGTTTTTTACGTTGTTTCGCCGTTCGGCGCACGTAGTCAGGGCCAGTGAAATTTGTAAGCCTATGGAGTAGTTTGCTCAGAAAAACGTGAGTAAAACACAAACAAATGTCCACACCTATTTGCATTCTGACTGACGTTCCAGTGAAACTATTGATACTTATATCAGATGCAATAAAACACAAATCAAACCTATAACAATTTTTTCCCGCTCTGTTGCTTCCAAAACAGGAACACAGCATCTTTTGTATACATCCTTTATTCACAGTACAATCTTCATGCATGCAGTTTTTTAAGTGAATTTGAAGCTTGAAATGCATTTCCAGTTGGAACCTTTTCTTACTCACTCGTCTGCGCGTTGTCACTTCTAGAGAAGCTGATGTTTCTGCATCCTCTAAATGTATTTGAAGTTCCATGTTTCTAATTGGATTTCTATGAATCTCTTTTTTACCCAATCTTGTCGATTCACATTTACCTTACACCGCACTGGAATGACGTGCTACTCACGGAAAGATTATTGAATTTCAAGATAGTCAGCTACACCCTATTACCACGGGCTAGACATCACTTTCTCTTGGAATCTCTCATTGGGTTTTATTGGCATTGCTGAGTTCAACTGTATTGATGTGAAAAGTTACAGTATGCTTGATGAATCCGTTACCCCTGAGTTCAAG